AGAATCAATAGCCAATGCACTAACTGATAATAAATTAAATTTGAACAGTGGCACGTATAAAACATCATGCAGCATAAGATTAGGACCCATCTTGATTTCACCACATAGGCCGGCAATTATTTTGGTGTGATTTGGCAAAGTAATGCTGGCATTTTCAATTGGCCTCATGGTTTCAAATGCTTCAGCTTACAACACACATGTTTAGTAGCCCCTGAGTCTACTATCCACACTTCTTCAGTTGCAATTACAGGGTCAACAGATATGGAATGACAAATACCTGCAGTTCCTGAGGTCTGATGTTTATCCAGTTCAGCTGAAGCAGCAATAGAGTTTGGTGCCAAATGATTCGATAGCATATTCATCAGTTGCTGATATTGATTTGAATTTAGATTTGGTATGAAATCGTCTACAGCATGTTGATGATCCACACGTTGATTGATAGACAAATGGTTGACGTGATTGTTTGCAGAATAACCTTGAATGCTCTCCCTGACTCTTGGTTTGTATCCTGGGGGGTATCCATGTATTTTGTAACATTTATCAACAGAATGTCTATGGAATTTGCAATGAGTGCAATATGGCTTATCTTTTCTCTTGAAGCTAGCATTATTCCCAAATCTAGGCCCATCATAGCGAGGACCATGACTCTCACTGGTTTAGTAGCTTCAGATCTAATCGAGAAAGCCATTGCAGCACCAGTAGACGTAGTATCATTTCCTAATGTCTGCGTACTCATCTTTTTCTGGTTCTCCTCCTGCACCATAAGTGCAAACACCTTGTTAACAGGTGGCATGGGATCCATCAGCAGGATCTATCCCATAGCTTGAGAAAAATGATTCATTCAATCCCATAAGAAAGGACATAATGTATTCCATTTGATGGTATTTATTCATCTCATTTACTCCCCCACATGTGCATTTTCCACAATTGCAGCTAGGTCTAAAATTGATCAACTCTTCCCACATGGTCTTCAATTTAGTGAAATAGACACTGATGGAGTTTTGATCCTGAGTTAAGTTCATCAACTCCTTTCTTAGTTGAAAAATTCGAGATCCATTGCTTTGCTGAAACCTCTCTTTGAGATCATTCCAGATCTCATGAGCCGTAGATGCATAGATAATACTAGCTGAGATCTCCTTCGAAACTGAATTCAATATCCATGACATGACAATATTGTTGTTTCTAATCCATGAATTAACCAATTCTGGATTCGATTCATCAGTTTTCTCCATAGATCCATCGATAAAAGACAGCTTGTTCTTCACCGAACATGCGATTGTCATCGCACGGCTCCATGAAGCATAATTCTCTCTCATAAGCAGCTGTGACACCAGTACCAATCCAGGATTATCTGAATAGTGAAGAAAAAAAGGACTAGATGGCTCATCAATGGCTGATTTGCTCATCGAAGAGTGNTTTGAACAGTAGCACGTATAAAACATCATGCAGCATAAGATTAGGACTCATCTTGATTTCACCACATAGGCCGACAATTATTTTGGTGTGATTTGGCAAAGTAATGCTGGCATTTTCAATTGGCCTCATGGTTTCAAATGCTTCAGCTTACAACACACATGTTTAATAGCCCCTGAGTCTACTATCCACACTTCTTCAGTTGCAATTACAGGGTCAACAGATATGGAATGACAAATACCTGCAGTTCCTGAGGTCTGATGTTTATCCAGTTCAGCTGAAGCAGCAATAGAGTTTGGTGCCAAATGATTCGATAGCATATTCATCAGTTGCTGATATTGATTTGAATTTAGATATTGTATGAAATCATCTACCGCATGTTGATGATCCACACATTGATTGATAGACAAATGGTTAACGTGATTGTTTGCAGAATAACCTTGAATGCTCTCCCTGACTCTTGGTTTGTATCCTGGGGGGTATCCATGTATTTTGTAACATTTATCAACAGAGTGTCTATAGAATTTGCAATGAGTGCAATATGGCTTATCTTTTCTCTTGAAGCTGGCATTATTCCCAAATCTAGGCCCATCATAGCGAGGACCATGACTCATCACTGGTTTAGTAGCTTCAGATCTAATCGGGAAAGCCGTTGCAGCACCAGTAGACGTAGTATCATTTCCTAATGTCTGCGTACTCATCCTTTTCTAGTTCTCCTCCTGCATCATAAGTGCAAACACCTTGTTAACAGGTGGCATGGGATCCATCAGCAGGATCTATCCCCTAGCTTGAGAAAAAGGATTCATTCAATCCCATAAGAAAGGACATAATGTATTCCATTTGATGGTATTTATTCATCTCATTTACTCCTCCCCACATGTGCATTTTCCACAATTGCAACTAGGTCTAAAATTGATCAACTCTTCCCACATGGTCTTCGATTTAGTGAAATAGACACTGATGGAGTTTTGATCCTGAGTTAAGTTCATCAACTCCTTTCTTAGCTGAAAAATCCGAGGTCCATTGCTTTGCTGAAACCTCTCTTTGAGATCATTCTAGTTCTCATGAGCCATAGATGCATAGATAATACTAGCTGAGATCTCCTTCAAAACTGAATTCAATATCCATGACATGACAATATTGTTATTTCTAATCCATGAATTAATCAATTCTGGATTAGATTCATCAGTTTTCTCCATAGATCCATCGATAAAAGACAGCTTGTTCTTCACCGAAAATGCGATTGTCATCGCACGGCTCCATGAAGCATAATTCTCTCTCATAAGCAGCTACGACACCAGTACCAATCCAAGATTATTTGAATGGTGAAGAAAAAAGGACTAGATGGCTCATCAATGGCTGATTTGCTCATCGAAGAGTGTACATCAGTATTACTTTGATTATTTTCTGTTTCCATGATAGCAGAAATGAAGAAGATGATTCAATGATTTTGAGAATTAGATTTGGGAAGCAAATTTCTCTGATGCCATATTGAAGCTAGAAGCAACAACACGTTTGGAGGGAAAATATTTTCATTACTTGAAAATTCAACAATACATCAACTACTTAAATAAATATGAAGGAAGAAATTGGCGGGAAAAATAAACAACAAACATCCAGCTGGCATAACTAACTTCCAACTGGAAAAGGAAAAAAAAATTATTTCTAATAATGTGGTGAAATTTCAGAAGATTTCATGACATGTATTTTAAAACTTGAAATCCATCCAAATGTTTTAAAATCCCGCTATTAATGAAATATTTATAAATCTAATAGTTATCGATGATACCTAAATTTTAGAGTATTTCATTGAATTTTATTAAAATCTCAATTGGGAACACCTAAATTCTAATGGATTTCATTAAAATCTCAATTAAGAACACTTAAATTTAGAATGATTTTTAAAGGTGTGGTTGTACTGCCCCACAATTTTTATTCGATACACCACATTTTAATTGCAATTAAACTCCTTAATCTTTACTCATTGTAACAATTATTTCATTATTTTTTTCCTTTTGTAGAATTCTTATCTTCAACATTTCATTAATTAATTTGTTTCGTCCTTGATGACGATTTATATCAAAATATTTTGTTTTCATGCTTTTAAATAAGAAGGACATTTTATATTTATTTTGCACTTTTTATTTATTTTTCAAAAATATTATGAAAAATAAGTCGTTTTGCATCATTTGAACGGAATTTCCGATATAAATTTGTTATCAAATATAATATGTGTTAATAAATGGAAAGTTTGGAGATAAAAATGATTTAAAAATCCGTTAGAGACATGTGTTATAATGAGTAAAGATTGAGAACATTAAATGCAATTAAAAGGTGGTGCAAGAAATAAATTTTTTGATGTGAATGTAATTACCCTTTTTAAAATTTATCACAATCTCAATTGAGGGCACCTCCTTAATATAATTATCAACTTTTAAAAAATGGATAAATATATTCAGACCATGATTTTTAATAGACTACATTTTAATTATGAATGATCACATTTATAGCTCAAACTTTTTTATGTCGCATTTTAGTTTTCAAATTAACATAAATTGTTCGTGATTATAATTTCTCTCCAAAATTTTCTTTAATATGGAGTAAAAAACTAATTTGTGCATTGTATTTTCGAATCAATCATACTTGGTGTATATCAAATTTTACACTCTGCCACATGACAATACGCTATTGATAGTTTTAAAAAAAAAAAAAATTCCAACCAATCATTGTTTAAAAACAATGGTAATGTCAAGCATGATGTAAAAAAAAATGGTGTACATTTGGCATTATCCTTTTCAAATAATCAAAACAAATAATACTGCAAAAATACGATTAAATATTTGACCATCAGCTTAAAGTACATCAAGCCCCTGTTTGACATCCATTAAATTAAAATTATTTTTTCTCAAATTTATTTTCAACCACATATTCACACAATAAAATATTTTATACGTAAACATGCAACTTTTTTTTTTAACTTTTTGACTACACATTATCCGAAAAATCACTATTCCAAAATCTATTTTCCCAAAAAGAAAAGAAAAACTCTTTTAATGAATGTCAAATAGGGGTTAAAAATATTTTTGGACGAAAATCATAATTAACTCCCTGTTTGATTCACATTATTTTTTTTATTTTCATTCTTCTACTTATTTTCAACCACACATTTTTCAATAAAATAATATTTTTCATCACATCAATAACTTTTCCTTCTTTTTCAACAAATTTACTATCAATCTACTATTTCAGAATACATTTTTCCAAAATAATGTGGCATGTTAAAAGTAAGAATGTAATGAAGAAAAATGTTAAAGATATAAATGTGCTAATGAATAAAGGTCAATGATCTTTAATCTAATTAAAATATAGTATATTTATATAAAAATGTGAAGTGAATATAACTACCCTTAAAATTTTCTATATCATGTATTTAACATTACGTCGCTATGATCTTTTGTCGCGTATTAACTTTTAAAAGTTAGAATTGGACCGGCTTTTCTTTGCTAAGCTCAAGGAAATTTAAGAGTGAAAGAAGCCTTGGTGCCCAATGAAAGCTTCCTTAAAGAAGATAAGGAAATTTCCCGAGAAAACTATTTTTTAAATTAACCACACGCGTTGATAACGCATGAATTGTTAACAAAATTGTCAACAATCATTGTACAAATAACTCTATTTTATATTTCTTCCCATGCCACTATAAGAATTGTGCTACTTGTAAATCTCGACGCCCCCGTGGGCCTCGACGCCCCTCCAACGAGGAGGCGCCATTTGTACATTATGTTACCCGGGATGATGTACCAATAGCAAGGCTCCCATTATAATGAGTTGTCTCTTTCCCTTGTTTTCTGGTCGGTCGGATAAAGACGGTTCTGTTTCGTAGCAAAATTGGGATAATAGTAACACTCGGCACGCAAAAATTCAAAGAAATCCAAAGAAAAATTGGGATTCCACAGAATACGGCTTAACACAGACAGGCATTTTACTCCTTTGGACCCACCTAATACAGAATCAAAGTCCAATCAAAATTCTGCAATTTTTTCCGAGTGGCACTGGATTATCCAAATATGATTTTATTTTGAATTAGTGTTTATCTATTACCAACATCCTTAATAATAATAAATTAGAGTCCGATTTATTACTGCATTGGTCAGACTCTTCTATATAAATTTTCAACTACCAGTGTAGGAATCCCATTCAAAGTATCAAAAGGATTAGGATTTATTTGCTGACTCACTTCTAGAAGGAGAAGGCAGAAGAAGAACCAAAGTGGCCTTTTGAGGTATGATTCTGTACGCATATAATTGTTTGTTTTTGTGCAGAAATCTCACATGGGTTTTCGATTTTATTAGTTTGATCCTTCTGCATGTTGTTAAAACTGCATCACATCACATCACATTTCTTGATCTGATTTTCCTCGAATATGTCAGATTACGAGTGATTTTTTTATTTTCTAAAATTGAATTTCAATGACAAAACCCTCAAATTTCTAATTCTCATTTGGTTAATCAGGCTCCATTGAGAGTTACAATCGTCCCTTTTTATTCCAAGGTTTTGAAAATTTTGCATTGTGAGGAACGTTCACTTATAAATTAATTATTTGAATTCTTGATTCCATTAATCATGAACGAACTGTTAATTTGACTAAAAGGGATAATTTAGACTGATTGCTTCAGTGGTGGAAGATTATTGTTGGCTCCTATTTATTAATTATTTGTTTGACAGATAAGTAGTCTAAGATAACATATAAAGAACTTTAAATTTTTGTTTGCAAGGATTAAAAAATATATATGTCATAATTATCTCTTATTTTTGTGAAAGGGTGCTGGTGTTCGGTTTTTTTTGACTATTGTAGATGTTGAGAGGAAGTATATGTATGATTGTTTCACTTAAAACTTTCCATTATACCCATCGAAAATTTCGGATATCGGATGAAATTATTTCTATATTTTTGTATGACTACATATATTCTAATCTTCGAATTCATTCGTATTTTATAGAATTCCATTACTGAAGTTATTTTGGCGAAAGGAGCAACATGGAGGGTGGTATATCTAAGCCGGATAAAACCGAATTCACAGAATGCTGGAGAACAACTTGGAAAACTCCTTATATTATGCGACTTGCTTTATCGGCTGGCATCGGTGGCCTCTTGTTTGGTTATGACACAGGTATCAGTTAATTTCCTTTTACTCACTTCATCATAATTATTAGGATTGATTCAAATTTGGGAAATAAAAGAGTTTCTATTATGAAAAGGAAAAAAGAATTTTAGTTTGACAACAAAAATGAAATATTGCGATAAGGTAAAGAGTAATGCTATTCATCTCCACCGAGGTTACAAACACAGTCTAGGTGACGTTAATGTGACATTAAATGATAGGTGAAATTAAATAAGTCATTTAATTTCACATTTCATTTAACCTATCATTTAAATGTTTGTGACCCCATTGGGGATGAATAACATTACTCTAAGGTAAAATAGTTCTTTTTTTCGATATTGGAAAAGATAATCCTTTTGCAATTAGGAGGAGTCCTAATCCAATAAAGAAAGGTCGTTCCTATAAATTTATGACATTCCATTGAGAATAATTTTTCTTGGCACCAAGATGACATGAATCTGGGTAGAGAATTACATGCATCTAAAATTTTAAAAACAATGGTTCGAACTTGTGGGTCTTACGTTGATTGTTCTATTGTATGGAGAGTTGTAAAAGCGAGGACAACATTGTGTTGTGGCTGTTTGTCGAAACACGTTTAAAATATTTTTCCATCTTTTTTGGCTCGTTTGTGAGTTTTGTTTCCGCATTGCGTTCGGTAATTTCTCATTAATTTTGCATGAGTTACTTTGAACTCCACATTATACTATATTGTCAATGGTCTATAACGTTACAAAATTGCTGCTGGTTACTAGGTGTTATTTCTGGTGCATCACTTTACATTCGAGACGACTTCAAATCTGTTGACAGGCACACATGGTTGCAGGTAAGTAACTGGTGTTCTCTAAACTCTCGACTTTCATACATTTGAAGATCGATTAATATGTTTGTTCATTGTGTAGGAAACAATTGTGAGCATGGCTGTAGCAGGAGCTATTATTGGTGCTGCTGTTGGTGGTTGGATCAATGACAAGTATGGTCGAAAAAAATCTATTCTTCTAGCCGATATCTTGTTCTTTTGTGGTGCAATAGTCATGTGCGCTGCTCCAGCGCCATGGATGATAATCCTTGGGCGAATATTAGTTGGTTTGGGAGTGGGGATGGCTTCCATGACAGCACCCCTTTATATTTCTGAAGCTTCTCCTGCTAGAATTCGAGGAGCATTAGTTAGCACAAACGGTTTGCTAATTACAGGAGGACAATTTTTAGCATATCTTATTAACTTAGCATTCACCAAGGTAGTTTTTCTAATGCCTTTCCACTATTTTAGATTTTCCTATGTTTACATTCCTTTAATGTAACACGAAATTGATGTGTTGTAAGGCACCTGGAACCTGGCGATGGATGCTTGGGGTAGCAGGAGTTCCGGCCGTCGTTCAATTCATTTTAATGTTGTCACTTCCCGAGTCTCCCCGATGGTTATATAGACAGGTAAAAATCTCTTAGATTTACTATTTCATATTATAAATCATTTATTGCTCCAATTTATAAACAATTCCCACATAATAATGTTAATCAGGACAAGGTTAAGGAAGCTAGGGCTATTTTAGAGAAAATTTATCCTCCGAATGAAGTCGAGGATGAAATGAATGCTCTACAATTATCTATTGAAGAGGAGAAGGCTGAGGAAGGTTCGATCGGTGACAACGTCCTTTCCAAACTAAAGAGTGCGTGGGGTAACGTAGTTGTGCGTCGGGGCCTATATGCAGGTATAACCGTTCAAGTTGCTCAACAATTTGTGGGTATAAACACCGTCATGTACTATAGTCCCACGATTGTTCAGCTGGCCGGATTTGCTTCAAACAAGACAGCATTGGCACTTTCTCTGATCACATCCGGTCTTAATGCTGTCGGCTCCATTGTTAGTATGTTTTTCGTTGACAGATTCGGGAGGCGAAGATTGATGATTATCTCTATGTTTGGAATTATAATCTGCCTTGTCACATTATCTATCATGTTTTATGAAACTTCAATTCATTCTCCACGAGTTAACAGCCTTGAATCCCTTCACTTTGGTAGAAATTCCACATGTCCAAGTTTCTTACAAGCCCCTGATGCATCATCTTGGAACTGCATGTCGTGCTTGAAAGCCTCGTCCCACTGTGCCTTTTGTGCTAATGGAGATAACAAAGTGAGCTTTCCATATTAAATTTTCCTCTTTTTACAATTTTACGCACTATTATTTGTCCTAATTCTCCTCATTTTTTTGCCATGTTTGCCATCTATTAGTATCATCCTGGAGCATGCTTGGCTTTAACAGATGCTATACGAGGTTCATGTCGTCAAGAACGTCGTACTTGGTACACGAAAGGTTGCCCTTCCAAATTTGGTTTTTTTGCAGTTCTACTTCTGGGACTATATATTATATCGTACTCGCCTGGAATGGGAACAGTCCCATGGATTGTGAATTCTGAAATATATCCATTGAGATACAGAGGGTTGGGTGGAGGAATCGCAGCAGTTTCTAATTGGGTTTCTAATCTGATAGTGAGCGAGACATTCTTAACACTAACAGAAGCTCTTGGTTCTGGTGGCACATTTCTTTTGTTTGCTGGTTTCTCGTTTCTTGGACTTGTCGCTATATTTTTCCTAGTACCTGAAACAAAAGGATTGCAATTTGAAGAGGTAGAAAAGATGCTGGAAAAGGGCTTCAAACCAAGGATTTGTTGCTGCAACAAACCAGAGGAGGAGGATACAAAGTAATTCTTAGCTTTTTATTTTATTTTC